CAGTCATGTGATGTGAAAGTCCAACAGCTGCCCGCCTGTCTGTCCCACTCTGTTCTGCACTGAAGACTCTTCTTGTCTGCAGTCCTGACGATATAATGGTTTGATAAACTCAACAAGCCAGCATCTCTCTCTGCTAATTGAAAACATAGCCACAAGAGACTGTTTTATTTCCTTAACCCACCTCGATTTTCCCATATGGTTCCAGGGTTTAAACTGGCAGCGTTCCAGTAACAAGCCTGCATCCTTAACCCCAAACTCTCACAAGCGCAAGAAGTCAGTTTATCTTTTCTTCTCATCACTGGCCACTGAACTGTTGAATTTAAATACATTTTATATGAGATAGAAATGTAAATGATTGAATTATTTCCCCACTGTAGGACAAAAGAAAAAAAAAAGACATGTACTCTTATATTACCTTGCTTATGGTCAACCAATCAAACCATTTCCTGTGTGGTGTGGCCCATGCAGGATATGGACTTTGGGTAAACAACAACTGTGTAACAATATTGAAGCTGTTTTTTTTTTTTATAGGAAGTAAAGAAACATTACATTGGTAATCTAGTGAATTGGATTGCAACACAATATATTTTCCTCTATTTTTGTAATTCAACCGATTTGACTTTGTCCAGTTCGTTGATGTTGTTTCTGGCCAGTAATTGTTGATATAGACACTTTAGCCAGGACATTTGTTACTTCAACACATTTGGGCTGTGGAATACAATGTAGTGTCTCTCTATTTGTTATCCAGCCTCCACAGTAACATTCAGCCACACTTTTTGCATAAATATGTGTGCATGAATGATTGCTGGTGGTCGGAGAGACTGATGGCACTGGAATGGGGTTAGCGCCACGTGTGGAGTGAATAATATACTGGGAAACATTCTGGTTGTGTTCAAATGGGTTCTTTTTATTCTGTTCTGTCGGTTTAATAAGCCAGCATTGTAAACATTTGACCTCTCACCAGTTAGTATGTATGCAGTGAGGTTTATGGCTGGTGACACTAAGTTCATCACAATCAGATTTACAACTTTATCAACATAACCTATAATTGGCCAACTTGGCAAAAGTTGTCGGATTGTTAAAAGTCTCATCTCTACACATCATAACCGCATGTAAAAGTGTTACTGCGATCTTAACTTTACCTTATAACAATTGATATAAGTCCAAACATCACTCATTCTGAACAAAAGGATAGATTATCTTCTACATATTTCTTCAGTTTTCAGAGGTTAGAACTTTTGATATCTAATCTCAAGGCCAGTTGAGTGAATAAAGTAAAAACCCAACTTTCTGAATTTTTAGGCGCACCTGTGTATAAGCCTCACAAGCTCCATTTTTAAAGAAAATATTTTTTTTTCCACATATAGGCCGCACTTGAGTTGCATGGTTTCTTGTTGTAATGTAGCAGATAGATGACCGCTTTAACTGGACCTGTTGTTTTTGATAATATACAAGTGTCGTATACAGTAGCTACTAAAACTCGATTAAACTTGAGTCCATAAACTCTGCTCTGACGACTCTACCACAATCAAAAACACACATAATAGATGCATCACTATATAAACTGCAATGTTCAAAGATTTAGAAAAAAGGCCTCTAAACAGGAAATTACCTTTTTGTTGTTATGTTTTTGCTAATTTGAAGCACTGATTAACTTAATTCATCATTAATTTTCCGTATTCAGAATCCGAATCCACTTAAAAGGATCTTGACAGCTGGCAGGTTCTAAAGCAGGAAAGTGTGTTATGTATGCATGTGAAATATCATAGAGAAAAAATATTGATTGCCGTATTGAACCCTGCTCTTCTCGTATGATTCGATATAAAAATAAAAACTGTCCAAGGCAGCAACTTACTTGAGATGAACTTCTAAACCAGGCCGCCTGTTGCTTGTGTAGGTCAATCCCAAGGAAATAAAGGGGAGACTTCCATTGTCTATTTCAGGCCTTCCAATCTCCTAATGCCATGCACTTGTGTGGAGCGAGGGGCTGAGAAAGTTCCATTCGGGGTAATCCCTTGATAAATAAACTGGGAAGACAAGACCACCACCGCTATCTGTAAACCAATACTCCTAGAGCAGAGGGATGGCCCGAGGCTGGGCTCACTCGGACATGGCGACACACATACATATCATATCAGCACAGAGCTATGACTACATAAGGTAAATAGTTTAGCCTGTCCTTTCAGCATCCATGTCCAAAATGCGCGTACATACTGTCGTCATGGTGAAAAATGCTGCGCTAGTCTGTTGCTTCGCTTACACAAATTTCAAGCCGTGCGTTTCCCCCAAAGTCATCACATATCATCAACACACATGCAACTGGTTTTCCCACCCCATCAGCTGATATGTCCACAGGCGATCACACAAGGAATGCTTAGGAGAATAACTGAAATTGTGAAGGTGTAATGAGAACAAACAGGTGCACAAACTCCGAAGCTGCAACCACATGGGCTTTCCACTCTCACGCCATCATCAGGTCAGGGGATAATTGATTTACGGCCAAGTACTGGTCTGCGCCGTAACTCAAGCTGTCAGTCTATTAGCTGGAAGGATTATTCTGTCACAAGATTTGAGAAAAAGACATGACTCAACTTTGGCGTAATCAGTCTGAGCTGGAATCACCAAAGGTTGTCTTGTTTGGGTCGAAACTGTTGTAGTGATTCCTTGATAAAAATGTCTAAAAGCTATTTGCGCAAACACAACTGTGACCGGCCGCCTGACCCCTCTCAATTCTTCACTGGCGTGTTTATGTTCCCATCTCACGAAGTAAACCAGTGTCACACAAAAGGGAGGTGAGAAATTGTTTTAAGATACAACTCCTCTTGGCCTCTTAGAGAAGAATCTGTCCCAAAAGTTCACGGCTTCAGAACAAAGATAACCTTTTTTGGTGATTTTAGCGAGCTTAGACCTCCCAGACGCCGCTGTCTGGACGTGATGTAATGGGATTATGTTGCGCCTTAAATATGTGTTGTGAATCTCAGGAATGCTTTGTGTGACAAGAATTATTTGTGAGCCTATAGGGCAATTGGACATGCTATTTGGCAAGCATAACATTTACTATTTATTGAATCGGGCTTCATTTGACTTTGTCGGTTTGACGGTTGATTGGTTGATTCACAAGCTGTTAGGAATGTGCAAATGAAGAATAGTATATTTTTTAAACTTTATAAAAGTAATGTGTTTAGATGAAGCATATTTGAATGCTGCATGATATTGTCAGAATGATGTTGGATTCAAGACGTCACAACTGGAATAATTCATAGACAATTGACGTGACCTGACGTTTTTTTCTCATGATAAATGGCCCATTCTCAAAGGCCTTAATGCTCCCTGGTGAAATGAAACCTGCTAAAAGTGTGAGAATGTTTGGCCACATGTACGTAGCATTTGTCTCGATGATGATATGGGCCTTTGCCAACACAGTTGCTCTGTTCCGTCTTTTATCGCTGTGGCTCTGTCGTTGCAATGTAATGTGTGTGTATCATGTGCACGTGTGGCTCAGGACTGCTCCACCACATGTGAGCATGTTTTATGCCTCCAGAGGGAGTTAAGGTTAATGCAATAAAACAACCTTCCCGTGCCCAACGTCGGCCTTAAAAGAGGATTTAAGACCTGAGTGGAGTGTGGACGGAGCAGGACAGAAGCAGTGCAGTAAAGGCTAACTGTGCTGTAAAGAACAAAACGAAGGAATGTGCTGGTTTGATTAGAAACTGTGAGTCTGGCCAGCCAGTTAAATAAAAAACCCAATTAACTACATTTATAAGGAGGATAAATTCTGCCACCGATTGAAGACAGATTTGAAAGGATTTTGCAACAATTTATAAGCTGTAAGAGTGCAATTTCAAACGTCTTAGCATCACAGATACTCTTGTGTTAACTATTTAAATGACATTGTAATTCCTTATGTCTTCTTCTGTATACACGTCTATATCCTCAGACAAATAGAGCTGTAAATCTATCAGCTTTATTAACCGACCTGTTTGGGAAGGAATGTTGTGACTTCCCCAGAAGTGAAGCCTGAGGGTGTGAGGTGACCATGACTGACCATGACTGACCATGTGCCCGACACTTCTGGATGCAGGGCACACAGACCATGAACAAAGATGAAGGCCTTTGCCTTGGCTCACAATTGGCACTCATTTTTCTAGAAACCACAGCATGGCGAGGAACATGGTCAGTCTGATAAATCTGCCTGATCGGATACTTGACATCCCATGTTATCTCTGAAGAAGGGGGATGCTTCCGCTGAAACTTGTTGGATAATTGAGCTTGTAGAGTCTTTGCTGTTCTTGTCTCCTCTAGTTTATATAAAAGTGTATTTTTATACCAGTACTTTGTGTGTGATACATGTAGATCCCTGTCTTACTTTGTGTGAACTCAAAATGACTACCTCTATGAAAGCCTATAATTAAGCTGATTACTGAATCCATCAGTGAGTTCTCCTATGAAAATATTTTGCTCTGGGAAAAGTGAATGAACATTGATTCAGAATCATATGCTCCTGTGCAAAAGCCATTAGGCAGACATTGGTTAATTGAGGGCCACTTAATAACACAGCACCAAGGCTTTTAGGCCAATGAGATCTCATTGATTTTACATGTTGGTTGTAAGCTTGTGCTACTACTCAGCAGTTCCTATCTTCACAAGGCCATGCTGCCTGTAATAGGCCACTGGAGAGGTGAGCTATTATTGCAGAGTGCATGTGCTCTACCTCCATGATGTAGTGGAATGTTCTGCATTTACTGTCAGCCCCCTGCTCTCAGTCACTCATCACACATTCTCTTTTATCATGACTGCGTTCATGAACAACTACACATATTTCACGTTTTGTATTACAAATCATTCAACAGGAATTCATTCTTTAAACTGAGGGCATCTGGGTGTCCACATGTATATGCATTCATGTGTGCAGGTGTGTTTCAGTGGTTTATAGAAGCCACAGTCTCCACCCTTTGGATGTTTTTAGCTTAACAAGTGTGTCTGCTGTGTGTTCTCCACAGGTGGACAAGGTGTGTGGCCTGTCTGTGAGAGAGCACTCTGGCATTAAGCCGACACACTCAGAGGTCACCACCTCCAGTATGAACCTGTCTACTGCCGCCCCGTCTGCTTCCCAGCCGCTATCAGAGCAGTCGCTGGCCAAGTTAGCTCACTTACGAAGGTAAGACAATCTATACATTCCCACTGGCCAGACATATCTTATGACGACGTTCTTTAGACCTGACATCAACAACTTTCAATAATACATTTGAGCATAAACATTTCCATTTAATTTTCAATATGAAATTGGCTCCAAAGTTCAAGGTTTCTACAACCTCTTGGTAAAGCATATCAGTGACAAATTATTCATTTCAAATGACCAATTCTAAATTCAAATTACAGTTCCATTTGTTTCACATCCCATTTGACTCGTTGGTAAGGATATATTTTTAGTGTCTGGCCCAAACAAACAATACATGACATTTGAAACCCAAATATTTAATTCCACAGAGACTCCATAGCCTTAGAGCATCCATGCAGTGTCAGTATGCAGCCTGTGCCCTCAGCATGGCCCCTGAGCTAGTCATCCCACAGCAGCTGCCAGCACTGTGCCATATGAAAGAGGGGCTGGCTGGGATTTATGTTGACAGACCAACAATTTCCTGTTTACCCAGACGTCCATATACCACCAGCTCTGAACAGTGACCGTGCCCGGCACAGAATGGCACACAGAAAGACCCAGTTGCAGTGCTGTTTGCTCGACCTTGTCCTAAACCGTGGATCTCTGTACTCATGCCAAGAGGGCTAACAGGTCCGGCTCTGGCACTTCCACTACCATTCATGGCAGCACAGTCCCAGCTCCCCACATACTGCCAAGTCTGCCCACCACATGAGAGGGAAACCACTTCACAGGCAGCAGCGGCATCACAGCACACTGTTGAATGCATGACACTTCACAGATCCAAACTGTTTACAAACATATTGTATGACATCCCCCAAAAGTATAGTCATTTTTTGTGTGTTTTATGGATGTTTGCAGAGGTCTTGTTCAGTGTTGGTGCATGTGCATGATCGGTCACTCTCGTCCATGGTCAACTGACTTTGTCTTTTCCTTCCACACTGGATTTTGTTTTGTTTCCCCCACCCTCCTTTCATCTGTCCCTCTCACCTCCGCCTCATCCTTCTGCATCTTCCATGCTTGTTCGGACCACGGCTTCCATCATTCCCAGCTCGCTCCCCCTGAAACCCTCCAAGAACAATAAACATGATCTGAGAACATTGTCTAGGTAAGCATGACCCCGACTGGTGTCTTCTTTATCTCTTATGCTGATAACTAACAATTACTAATGTTTGAATTACCGAACACTCCTATCACAAGTACCTGTTCTAATGGATATACGTACATTCAGAAAATCACTCAATCATAGAATTCATTAAAGATGGGCAGCAGGGGAGTGGTTAACAGTGATTGGTAAGTTCAAAAATGTTATCATATTTACATTGTTAGTTACGAGGATACAGATATAATATATTTGCATTGCAATATTAATGTTTTTAATATGTTCCTGGGATACACAATTTACTTGTTACTTTTGGTCAGTAATTATGGATCTTGAGTAGTGGTACAGTATCCATCCTTCCATCCATTTTCTTCCGCTTAGCCCCTCACTGATCCTCCTGCAGGTGGTGAGTCCACAGGGGCCTTGATTTTCCAGCGGGGGCTTCAAGTGGTACAGAAACATGATATATTACCGATTTTCACTTATGAATTCCATTCAATACAATACAGCAGTGTCTCCCAAAGTGGGGTCCGCGGCCCCCTGGTGGGCCGCGAGGGTACTGCAGGGGGGCCGCGGGAGGTCATTAAAAAAAAAAAAAAAAAAATATATATATATATATATATATATATATATATATATATATATATATATATATATATATATATATATAATTATTTAATGTTAAATTTATAATGTTTTGTTTGTAATATTAAAATATTTGTGTTCATTATTTGACTTGAATAATCCACTGTAATCATTTTTGTATTACAATGTTTGTAGCAGAGGCTATTTCCCCAAAATAAAATAACCAGAAGAGCCTATTCTTAATGTTGTCTTCTTGGTTATTATTTTGGGGGGCCACGTAGACCCGTCAGATTTTTAAGGGGGCCTCGGGGTTACTGAGTTTGGGAATGGCTGCAATACAGTATTGCAATAGTGCAACTAATTACAGTAGTTACTGTAATGTAACTGGTGGTTAGCACTCTCACGTCTCAGTAAGAAGATCCTGGGTTGGAATCGAGGATGACACAGGGCTTTTCTGAGTGCAGTTTGCATGTTCTTGTGTCTGCGTAGCTTTTATCTGGGTGCTCTGGTTTCTCCCATCTCACTCCCAGCCAGCTGAAAAGGAGATTCTGAAATCTCAGTGAGACTTCCTTGGTTAAATAGAGGTCAATAAAGAACATGCAGTTAAACTTTGTCTCTGACATTAAGCTGCTTTGTAGGCGATTACCGTTCACCTCACAATTGATTCATGAACTGAACTGCAATGTATTTTTCTTAGCGTAGAGCATAATGCACTATATGAATAACACTGCAGATGTGTACAGTTGTGCTAATACCACTCTGTGCACTGCATTGACTAACATTGACTTTGTTTTAGTGCATATTTCTGGTCCAGCCATCTAAGGTCTGTTCTCTGACTCCTCAGAGAGTTCCTGACCTACATGCGCCGGTACCGGCCGTTTTTTGTGGTGCTGCCAGAGCTGCTGTGTGAGCGGGAGAACGGGATCGGTGACTCCACGTGCTGGAGCGGAGATGATGTTGTGGAAAGGTGAGTCTTACTCCATTGCTGGCTCTAAGACCAAATCAAATATTGATTTGTGAAATTTAGGACATTACAGAAAATCAAAATGATGATTTGTCAAACTAACATTCATGATGATGAAGTTAGTGGTAGTTCTAACCTTTACCGCAATCATTCTATGGTACACATAGAACATTAAGAAACAACATGTTGGATGTAAACGTTTTTCTCACACAATTCTTTTAGATAATGCGTGAGATCCATATTTATTTATTTTTTTATCTTATCTCATCTTTAATTTCCTTTTTTAATTTTAAGGAACATAAATAATTGTAGTCACAATTTGCTGACTGCGACCATGGACGTTTTGATTTGATTGTGATTAAAGTACTTGGTTGATTATTGAGCACACATTTGAACACATTTGTCCACATACCTGTATAGGCCACACTTTTTTTTTCACTAAATATTGCCAATAGACAACTTTTTTCACTGCTCACGACATGTTTTAACGCACTGATGATCAAATCACTGGTAAATGTCATTTTGACCAAAAAAATATGTGTTTTCCATCCCTCATAAAACTTGATGGCAAAAATGAAAGAATAAAACACTGTACATACAATACATTGCTATATACATTGCAGGGTGAAAAAAGTATAGTCTTGAGATCATACTGCTCTAATTGAAACAACTTTATACCACTGTTGCAATTCCAAAACATTTTCAATTTGTCTATTGTTTTGGCTTATTTGGCTCAAACTGTTTTTTTCTAATTTGCAGATGATATATATTTTCTATAATTATTGGTACTGGCCCAGATGTGATAATAATTCCCCATAACGAATGCTGCTGCTGTTTCCTGGGGCAAGACACAACCCAACTCACCCCAGTGTCTGCGCATACCTGAGCCTTTGTGAAGATGTCCTGAAATTCTTATCTGTAATGGATAAATCAGTCTAAAAAATACCTCTCATTTCTTCGTGATCCCTGTTATCTTTCCTTTGTTCTATATTGTGTTACATTATATTTTTGATTAATTTTTTAGGCTTTGTTTTGGCTGATTTATAAGTGTGGCTTTGGCGTCTGCTCATAGTTTTGCATTGCTCCGGGTGTGTGTATATGTAAACTCTTATGTTTCCACTGACACAGAACAGAAAGTGGAGGCAGAGGACTGAGCCAAAGTCTGCGATCCATTCCGTTGCTGCATTGGGTTCTCAAAACATTCAGTCCGCAATTATGATAAGGTTATGCTATCTTTTTGTCGTTGCCCCAATCCTGATGGCAACACTCACTTTCTGCACATCTAGTGTTGGCTTTAACTCAAAAAAAGATACACTCCCTCTAATCTATCAGATCCTCTGAATGTTAATCTTTCATCCTTTGGGGTTTGGAGCATGTTGTCAGAAATGTTAGTAGTTTGGCAGCTTTCACAATCCCATTATTTTGGGTCTGCTTTGTTATGTTCTGTTGTTTTGGCCTGGTACTCTCCCGCCCTTCCCAAAGTCGCATCATTTGCCAATAGCGGAGACACATTACGCAGACCACCCATTCATCAGGCGTCATGACAGTGTGTCAGGACAAACACAGAGCAGACTTAACATTTCTGTACAGCAAATCCGCCATGCTTCTATTCAGTTACCTTAACTGCCTAAATGAGTTATAATCATGTTTTATCGCACACTCTGGTGTCCATGGGGTCTTTGCTTGTGGTGTCAAATGTTTTTTTGGTTGAAAAGAAAATAGCCTCCTGCTGGGATTTTGGCACCACTCATAAACTGCTCACATTGGCTTGTGGCTGTAAAGCTGAAGTCTTGTACTAGACCTGATGCTGTTGGCAAGCATATAAGTCGAGCAAGGCGCTGACAAAGCCTGGAAAGAGGTGGGGTTTTGGTGTGGTGGAGCCTCCTTGTGCCCCTGATGAGGGGAGCATGGTGGGCCAGTTAGGGGGAGTGGACCTTGGCAGCATAAAGAGCCATTGTGGAGTCAGTGGAGTTGGGCACAACCTCGCTGTGGGGACCCCAAAGCCTGGAGGGGAAACAAAGACTGTCCTATGAGGCTGCATGGGAAAGACAGCAAATGACTTGGACACTGCGGCCTGACTGCACTGACCAGGCCATCCATGCCTGGTCGGTTGAACTGATTAAGTTAAATAGGTCGTTGTGAATGTGTCTTATTCACTGTAAACTATGGACAAAATAGATGCTCAAGGCCGTGCGCTGTGCTAAGCCTCTGTCATGTTTGTTTCCGTCATACTTCCTGTGGGCACAAAGACTCAGGGGGACTGCTGGGTTTTCCCCACGAGCTGACGACGTGTAGACACAGTCACTTATCCATCTGTATAGCACCCATATGCCAGTCAACAGCTGGAGAGGCTATCCATTTAGACACAATCACACTGACAATGCCTCATACACTCCACACACACATTCTGTTCAAATACAGCACACACGTTTGATGTGGGGATTGACATTCCCTTCCTCTCTTATTCTGCAACCGATGACAGAGGGCCAAGGCAAGAGGGGCCACCACTTGTACTTACAACATGAAGTACATGGTGGCGTTTGTTCAGCTATTTCTTGACATAAATACAGCTGCATGGGTTAAAAGTGCATGTTTGGAGACAAATGGAAAGATTGGAAATGGTCATATTGAATATAGTCACTTCAATCATTTCTTCACACCAATTTCATCAGAATATAATACATGCTTATCTTAAGGATAGCCCAGGCTTTTTATCATAATGATACATTTCTACAGTAAGTTAACTTGAAATAATGATTCAGTAAGTCAACTGTAATGATATAAAGCATACATTTGATGAGTTTTAATGAGTCCAGAGATTAAGTTTGTTAGTACTATATATTCACTATATTGCCCCCTGAAACACATGTGTATTCTTCCAGGCACAACTTAATTTACTAAAAGCTGTGCTTGAATCACAAACCGATTGACTGTGTCCCTGAATGCCTCAAATATTTATAAAGTTATGATGATCCGTTTGTTTATCATTCTGACATCTGGAAGTTATTGAGTTGTTGCAGGAAAAGCAGGAAGAGTGCTGCACTAGGCAAAGCTAACACACATTCCCTCCCACTCTGATTCCGTGACTCTATAACAATCTCACAGGTCAATGAGCTGCAGTTTGAAAAATGTGACTCAATTGGATAATGAATCTTCTGCAGATTGGGCAATGAATACGCAATTGTGTGCCCGTTTTTTTAGAAAAAAAATACTGTCAGCAAGGAAATATAGACTTTATTGGCGTCGTCATTAGGGCATAACAGAGGCTTTCTAATGCTTGCTTCATAACTTGACTTGACTCGGAGGCCCATCCCTTTCCCATAACCCTGGGATTCTGAAGAGGACCTCGGCCTGACCTGTTCTCTGCTACACAACATCACACAATATCTATCTGTGTTTTGGCCCCGACCACAAGAGAAAATAACAGCGATCCTATTACAGATTGTGTGTTTGGGTACATTTCTAAATCTGTTGTTCAAGAAAAGTGGGACCAGTGGTGGAAGCATTTTTGTCTGTTTGGTGTAAACACTTAGATGTAACTGACCTCATAGTGCCTGATTCGTCCCACTTGTGACTCTGTGGGGGGCTGTTTGTGACTTTGCTTTCTCATGTGTGACTTTAATTGCCTTTGCTTTGTTTACATGAAAGTTCAAAGCTTTGTCATATGTGTATCACCATAACTACCAAAAATTATTTTCATTTTAGTAGACTTTGGGGTTATTTTATGCCTTATTGCCTAAAATACAATACTTGACACCCGATACCATGGTGATTATTTATCAATACCCTTTTTGGACAATACAAAGTTAATTTAATATTTTCTATATATCCATCCATCCTTTTTCTACCCCTTAATCCATTTCTGGGTCGGGAGGGTGGCAGTTAGAGCTGCACCCAGTACACATAGAACCAGCCCCACACTGTTCTTCCTGCAGGTGGTGAGTCCTCAGGAGCCTTGATCTTTCAGCGAGGGCTTCAGGCAAAGTCAGTTTAAGTGTCTTGCCAAAGGACACCACGACAGCAGTCATCAATAGGAGTCGGTGAAGAAGGTCTCAGGGTGGGCCCGAACCCACAACCTTCAGTCTCATAGGCCAATGCTCTACCAACTGAGCTACTGTCGCCCCTTTTTTCTCTCTATATATATATATTTTTATATAAACGTAAATGTTATATATGGTGAAATCAATCAAAACATTCTAGAGAAATCCTAAATTCTGTCTGGTTTATGTCATTTTGTTCGGAATCTCTTTACTCAAATTGCAATCTAGCATGGATATTAGTGTTAGTATTGACTGATTTCTGATTTTTGACCCCAGAGGAAAGCGCCTGGAGGAAAGCCACCCAGGCAAGGGGAGAAACTTAAAAACTCACACAGAAAGCCTCGGGCCAGGAGTTTACGTTGTGATTTTTGTGAGGCATTAGAGATACCCACTCCTACAGTGAACCACCATGCATAAGACGATCAGGTATAAGTCAGTCATATTTCATAATTCGGTAACGCTTTATATTAAGGCGTGCTTGTTAAGTATTAATAAGATATTAATAGACATTAGCAACATGCTTATAGATTGCTTATATGTACTTATAAACATATTAATAAGCTGCTCAGTTCACTATTCTCTAAATGATGTTCTAGTTCTTTTAAGCATTTAATAAGTAATTAGTAAGATACTTATTAAAGGAGGAATATGTTTATAAATATATGAATAAGCTGCTTATTAAACTATTATCGATACCATGTTAATAGGCCATTCACAATATGCCTATAAAGATATTAATACGCTGCTCATTAATAGGCAATAGTGGTAATAGGCCACTAAAAATATGCGTTAATAAACTGCTTATTACACTATTTTGCAGTACCTTAATCTAAAGCGAGGAGCATTTTTGTTAATGCAGAAAAAAACACAACAATGATCTAAGATGTTTTTATTTATTCAAACAGCAACAATTAAAGTATAATATATGAAAATTAAGTTTGTGCCAAAAGTTTGTTAGTAACT